GAGGCGGAAATGCGAAGCTCAGCAACGGGCCGTGACGGGAAGGCGATCCCTCATCAGAACTGACTCTGCAGGCGGGTGGAGATATTGCACAGCGGCGTGAACCGAGTATCAAGGGGCGGCAATCAGAAGGACAGAGGAACACCAAGTCAATCAAGCCTTGGGGGTTAGGATAAAGGGAGGAAGGCTGCAAAGATGTTGGAATATCTCTCTGCCTACGACCGCACTGAAAAGGAAAGAACAGAGACAGTCGATGAAGAACAATCGAAGAAGAGTCAAGTTAGAAATGCCAGTGCCGAACTTCAGTCTCAATTCACGCTTTTATTCCCGCAAGGGCGGAAGGAAGGGTGAACGGGTGAAGTTGATGTTTGAACAATAATTCCCAGAGAAATCGAGGTCGGCGGTGAAATGTCAATCCAGATAGATAATGAGTCTCCCCGGAAGAGAAGGAAGACCACAGGGGAGTAGGCTCGAATGGAATGATAAGCCCGAAGACAACAAGAAGGCAAATTGAGAGAAATTATCGGAACGCGAGAAGGAAAAGCAAAGTGTAGGGCGAGAAAGACATCAAAAAGAGAGAGAGGGAGAGAGAGAGAGGGGGAGAGAGAGAGAGGAAGGAGGGATGGAAAGGAAAGAGTAGAAAGAGAAGAAGAGAACCGTAGTAGGGTAGTAAAATGAAGGTTAGCGGCGGTGGAAGCCAAACCAAAGTAGAGCCACACTAAGGCGTTGGGAGACTCGTGGGGACCGAGGGGAGGGGGGAGGGAGGGAAGAGGGTGTGGATGCGTGTGAGAAAGAAAGAGTGGAAAAAGACAAAAGGACGGACAAGATGAACGAAGAAGAGTAGTAAGAGATTGGGAAGAACGGATAAGATCACTTTAGACCCAGTCAAATTGGTCTAGTCCTTGTGGCAGGACTGGCACGGGAAAGTAAGTAGTTCGTGATAATCACAGTTGACCCTCGCCCCCAATTGTTATAGTCCCTTAAATCCCGAGTTGATGGAGGAGGGCCTAAGGGAAAATGGGTAGTCGATCGATCCTCACGGTCGAGATTGTATTGAATGTATGTTATATTGGACTAGTGCATTTCCCGGGACCCAAGGGGAGGGATATCGGGGAGGGGAAGTCAAAACGGGGCAGGGTTCAAAGAAGGGAGGGGAGAATAGAACTTGAAGGGGAAGAAAGAGAGGAAGAGAGAGGGAGAGGGAGAGAGGAAGAGAGGAAGAGAGAGGGAGGAGGGAGGGATGTGGGGGAAGGAGGCAAAAAGAGGATGAAGATAGAAACTCGAGTCAAGACCACCGCAGACAGGAAACGTGAAAAGTCAGAAGCTTGGGTTGAAGGAGCGAAAATAATATGCAGCAACATCAGCGGTAGCAGAAGAGCGAGAACGAACGAGACCCGAGAGAATCACTTTACTCACGATGGAATACTTCAGATTCCCTTCCTTTCCTTCCTTTCTTCCCTTCCACCAGTTCCTACCTACTCGTACCTACAGCACAATGGAGTACTAAACTAATAACTTGAACTTACCTACGAGTACTACAATTACACTAACTGATTGACCAGCTGGGATCCCGACCAGTCCACATCCTCGCCCCTAGTCCCGATGGGTTAATATGACGGATCCTCCTCCATCCAACCCAGACAAGCCAAATGACCCAGAGATGCTGGCTAGCAGATTCGGCAATATGTTCAGTTGGAGCAATGTAGCCAGTCTTCTCCAGGATCTTAGACTCTGGGACTCTGGGACTGTCGCTCTACCTCTTCCCCGTTCATCCATGCTATCCCTCCTCAAATTCTGATATGCCTTCAATTCCTGGTTTTCTGAATGGGTGACCTGACCGGCTAGGCTGACCGGGCGCCGTCATAGCCTGCGGAGGTCAGGAGCATCCTCTTTCGGGACAGCAGACTGGCAGACTCAGGCCGGGCGTGGTTCTACTTCCTCCCTGAGCGGTTGCTGACAAGGTAGCTTCTTGATTGCTTATAACCTATTGTTCCCCTTGCTCGCAGGCGGCGGCGCATTTGACCCATTGGGAGATCTACGTTATTGTACTGGGTTTAGCGGAAATGCCTTAGTCCCAACGCTCTCGGATACTTGTCGTGGGCCCTTTGGAAAGGAATTGCTGCTGCTGTGGGCCGAACGACCCGATACTAAGAGAAAGAATGATGGTACATCGGGACAGGGAAGGGGGGTCCTCAGCCATGGGCCGAGGAGCGCGATATATGATGAGGCAAGCGCCCAAGAATTAAAACAAGGGTCGACCGGCCCGGGGGGAATCTGACGAAACTTGAATGAACAAGTGCAACTGAGACGGAGGGAGAGAGAGAGGAGGGATGCTAAGAGCAGAGGAAGAATCAAAAGGCCGGATAGACTTTGCTCGGCTCCGTTCACCGCAGAAATGGAAGGTGGAGGGAGTGTGGATGGACAAGAAAATAGAATAAAAATAAAAATAAGAGGGTATGTACGTATGTATGTATGTATGTTTTATGTTTTATCTGTGGCAGGAATGTTGTCACGTAGGGCAGCGCATGCGCGTTGAATCTGAAATCCTGAGCGCCAAGTCTATTCCGCGTTCGGGCTGGAGCGTTTAAGTAAAGACCACCGCATCTGTTGGATCGTCTATGACTGCAAGAGCCACATGCTTGATATATCTAGGCACAACATGGTCTATACCTTAGGGGAATTGGACAGGGGGTTTGAAGGTCGAGGTTATTCGGAATGACCCATGAAGAGCGATACCGCAGTGTGTTTAGGATGTTACAGGGAACTTCTCGAAACAAGCACCAGCCAGATAAGTAGGTACTGTACAGCACTTGGTAGTATTATTAGAGCAGCCGACTAACTTCCCATCCCCCTTTGACTTTGGTCTTTCTGCTCTTCAGCTCTTAGCTTGATATAGAGCTAGGTTTTTCTCTTGGAGATGAGGTATCAGGATGCATGCTTGGATATTCTGCCCGTGAGGTTCCCAGTTTTCTTTCTCATTTATCAAATTTTAGGGTCTGTCCACCATCATTCCCGATTTTACCGGGGCACGGGAGGTCCACGGCCAGGAAGGGGAGGGGCATTTTGTGCAAGAGTGGCTCCGTACGACCAAAGAAAGAACTGGAGGCATGGAGACGTCCGGGACAATGCTAAGCCATTTTAGACTAGGTAGACAACCGAAAACTCGGATCAGAACAATACAGCGAAAAGGGAGAGGGCTGTCGGTACCGTGGCTCCTCTTGACCTGCAGTACTAATTGACTAGTGGTGAATTAGTAGCGGAACACTGTATATGTAGTAGATCATTTGAGCGTGTCGGTCTGACTGACTGACTGACTGACTATCTGTATGTCTGTCTGTGTCTGTGATAGACTACTGTACTGTACAGCATGGGTCGAACCTCATGCGAACTACCGTAAACTGACCCCTCTGTCATCGGGGTTCTCTCATTATTGTACAGTACGGCATGCAAGATGACGGCCTCCTCCCGGGAGAACCCACTAGGACTTGGCTTCTTCCCACGCGAATGAATATGGTTGGATGGTCGCGTGTGGTCGGAGTTGACTTTAACGAGAAGAAGTGATGTGATAATAACACTAAGCAGAAATCCTTCGGCGATGGCGGGAATACTGCAGTGCTAGGTACTAGTTACTGACTACTGAGTAATATGGCCAAAGCCGCCAGAACCCTTAGCGCGCGCGATTCCCTAGTTACCTTTCTCTGCTGGGGACCTCCCCTCCCTCCCCCTCTCCCCGCGACGGCGGATCGTCTGAGTGGCATGGATGCGGCGGTTTTTTCTTGGCCTTCAACATTGTGAACAATAGATACAGATAGCGTTTTGTTCTAGTGCCTAGGGCGAAGCGCACACGCCCTCAGCTTCGTTGGATGCAAACTCTCTGTGCTAAGTGTAATAAGTTGTGTTCACTTACATCATCCCGATGGGCAGTCGGCTGCCAGTGACTTGGCTGGTAGGCATCCAAGTGACCCAGACAACTAACGTACCTTGGAAACTCCCTCCTGAATTCAAGAACATCCATCCAGTCAGCTCATTTACGCCTGATGATTTGCTGCCGCACTCCTTGCACTGGCTTTTGTTGCCACCTTCCAATCACCTACTCAGCCGGGCACAGTATCATTTCATCGTGACGACTGAGACTGGTTGATATTTGCTACTGGACAATCATCTTGCAATGCATACAGTGCTATCAGGTAAATTGGACACTGGAGCAACGGTAAAATGCAAGAATATGCGCCGTGTCGAAAAGAATAAAAAAAGGTACAAAAGAAAAAGCAAGAACAGTCGCATCAGGCGGACAAGTTGTGCCAGCTCTAGCTCATGTGTCAAACCGTGTATTCGATGTATTGTGGGAATCGCAAACGCGGCATGCTGACGGAACTGGATCGTCCCATAGGGTAACTATGGGGACGGACAGGCTGTAGCACTAGAAACTATGCTATAGAAACTGACATTTAGTATTAGCGCCTACAGAAGACGGGTATGGAACTGCACAATCAACAGCTAAAACCTCCCACAGGGTCTCCCTGCCAGACTAACATCAATCACAGTATATAAGTTGGCTGTACCGGCTCACAACTTATAACTCAGGTAACTTCTTTCTGAGGAGGCCGAAACTAAATGATGCCTCGGAAAATGCTTGGTACGGTGTATTGTACGGGGAATATATTCGATCAGGTTCGTTCAAGCGGGAGTGGCCACAACGGAGTGGAGTCTTCAATCGCTCTTTTGATTTTAATTTTTCTCTTCTTGTTTTCACTACGTAGACCTCCAGGCTATTTTGCTGCGATTCTGTTTTGGGTCTGGCGTCTCCGGGTCCATCGCTATGATGACCAGCCTGAGGCAGTGTATGTGGCCGTTTTCGGGCAGGCTCTCTGCGGACTACCAGCCACTAATATATATCTCTCATCGCAGGCCTGAGCTAAAACATGAGAGAAAGTTGGAATAAGACATCGGGAACGGGCCAGCAAACTGAGCCCTTTACTAACAACACTAAGGGCGAAGGGGGGCCGGGGGAGAGTGGTGTCAGTACTATTCGGTAAGCCACCTATCCCGCAATTGAGATTCCGAAGGTGAAACGGTTGCTATTATGGTTGCTGTTGGTTCTTTGAACTGTGCACTGAGTCGGAGCCTGCCAGGTGCCTCTCAGTCTAGACCAACTCAGGCAAGTGTGGGTGGGCTCCAAGTAGAGCCCGGCGGGCGGACTCACCAGGCTGATAAGTGTCAGGTGATCGCAGGTTACCAAAACAGCTTCCATCTCGTGTATAGTGTGGGTGCCGATGAGTTGATCAAGAGAAAGTCAAAGTGAAGGAAGGCGGCAAGAGACAATTAATTCTCTGTATGCATACGTACTCATTCATGAGGCGAGAAGATGATTATATGGCTCAAATGACCAAGCTGGCCTGGTCGCCCTTGCTCATCTTTCCATGGCAATGCGTGACTGATTTTGGATGGTTTCCTCTATGCGGTGTCTGTGCTCGACTATCAATACGGAGCGCATCACCTTGTACTGGACGATTATGGGGCTAAGAGCCAAGGAGTTTCTGGTGACTGTTACCTAGTAGTTACTAGGTAGCCTCACCTTGTAAAACTCGGTATAATACAGACACAGAGACAGACAAACGGCCAAACAGCCAGACAATGCAAATGCATGCCGCTGTCGACTAGACTAGCAGTGCTAGCAAGCACTTGACTGGGCGGAGCAGCAGGGCTCCGATTAGCGGGTAAAGACGATCCAGGAACGTTTCCGCGGCGGTCGGGTCTGGCTAGTTGTGCAGGGATGGCTTACTTAGTTGGTTGGTAGTTGGTAGTTGGTGGGTTGGTGGTTGGTGGTTACAACACATCAGTCAGTCTATGCTACTCAAGTATATGCCTTAGTACTAAGTAGGTATGCTATAGTATAAAGTTCAAGCAGTACATAGTAATTTTGCAACCTGCGACCGCCGACCGCCTGGTCACTGCAGGTTCCAAGATGATTCCAGCCTGAGGCAGCAGGAGATTTGGCCCACCTCGTCGGGGATGCAGTTTCCGATCTGAGCGCGTTGCAACCCACGCGCGTTCTTGGTAATTTATTTGATTACGCTCCCGGGCTCTGTGATTCATCTTGATTTCTTTACCAACTCCAGCATCGCCTGATACATGATCTCATTTGGAGCTGATTTGTCACTATCAAGACTTCTGTTGGTTCTTTGGCAATCTGGTAGATAGAAGATTGATCATTGGCATTCTCATACACCTATTTCCCCACCCCCACCCGCGTCAATGAATCCGTGAAACATTCTAAACGTTCTATATAACTAATTTGTCACCCATGGGATCTCATACTATAACTCTCACTCATCGCAAACAATAGTCATCTCATTTCAAGGCATGTCTGCGCCATCTGGACAGTCTCTCCAAACCTACGGCTTCCAGACTTCCGTCGACATCGCACGCCAGGACACCTACGACATAGCTCCTGTGGCTGGCCAAAAACGACCTGGAGAGCATTCTACAGGCAACAACAACCCGCTTTCAAGTGTAAATCAGCCTGCCAACTTCAATGGATTAGCCGGTCGACCGGTAGATTTCATAAGGCCTTCGCTGGAACTGCCTAGAGGTCGTCTAGTCGCCAGTGATATTCGCTCGGTGGCAGCCAACATCCCTGATAGAGATCCGCCGCTTCATTCTGTGCAAAATGCCGAAGAAGATCTTACCAACCATCCTCTGTTGTCTCTAAGCAATCCTGTATACGGACTGCCGTCTGTTTTAGTCGCTAATTGGGCGGCTATCGGACTTAAGAGCATATACCAATGGCAAGCAGCGTGCTTGCTGACTCCAGGACTGCTTGATGGCAGCCGACACCTGGTGTATACTGCCCCTACCGGTGGAGGAAAGTCGCTTGTCGCTGACGTTCTCATGATAAAGCGCATCATTGATAACCCGAGCCGCAAGGCAATTCTGGTTCTTCCATATGTAGCGCTGGTGCAAGAGAAACTGAAGTGGCTAAGAGGTATCGTACAAGATGTTGAGAAGAACATCGGCGACACCGACGATAAGGTGGACAGCACGAGACCATATCACCAGCGCTGGCGCAAGTTACAAAAGTCGATTCGTGTCACTGGCTACTTCGGGGGAAGCAGAACTGCTGCGTCTTGGGCTGACACGGACATTGCCGTCTGTACCATCGAGAAGGTGTGGCCGACTCCCTCGACTAGTCCAGGAGAACTTCCTCCTTTATTTCTGGATGCTAACCGGGCCATTACTCAAGGCGAACTCCCTGATCAACACTGCTATTGAAGAATGTAGTATCGGGAAGCTGGGCGTGGTTGTTCTAGATGAGCTACATATGCTTGACGATGAGCACCGTGGATACCTTTTGGAATTGATGGTTACAAAACTGCTGCTCCTGCGACAGAACATCCAAATCATTGGGATGAGTGCTACACTATCGGTGAGCTACTAAGGACCATTCAGACATGAGCAGCGTCACCCTGACACAGGCCTAGAATACCGAGATGTTGGCGGAGTGGATGAATGCAGTTTACTACGTTTCGACTTACCGCCCGGTTCCGATTGACGAATACCTTGTTTACGAGAATGCGATATATCCTGCTGCGACCTCAAGGCATTTGTTTCAGACAATATCTCGACTGAAGTCGGTTCCAACGCAATCGCTTGTTGAGACGATGCCTCCTCATCGCATCGTTGCCCCCTCAACTTTTAGAGAACTTGCGAATGCCATGACAAACGCGACAGTCGCCTTGGCCATTGACACGGCAGCAGCTGGGTATGGTGCTTTGGTATTTTGTGGCAGCCGACAGACTTGCCAGATCCAAGCGGCGATCATCAGCGAAGCTATGCCAGCCCCCGACGAGAACACTGATGACTTGAACAGACGACTCGACCTTGTAGCCGAACTCCGGAGCCTTCCCAGCGGTTTAGATCCTGCTCTTGAAAATACCCTCGTTAGAGGCGTCGGCTTTCACCGTAAGTATACCTCATGTTTGGGGCTCAGAACCAAGGCTGAACTATCAGGTAGATGCAGGCATGACGACTGAGGAGCGCGAACTGATCGCACAGGCTTATGATCAGGGTGTTCTCAGAGTGCTTATAGCGACTTGCAGCTTGGCAGCTGGCGTCAATTTACCCGCCAGACGGGTTTTAATCAATGGGGCACGCATGGGCCGAGAACTCGTTGGGCCCGCCATGCTGTGAGTTCTTTCTCCCAACCATTAGTAGCACGGGCTGACCAAGAAAGACGACAAATGTGCGGAAGAGCCGGTCGCAAGGGAAAGGACGAAGCGGGTGAGACGTATCTCATATGTGGCAATAGTGACCTACAAGCTGTCTGTGACCTTCTCGAGGCCGACATGCCGGCCATTGAAAGCTGCCTAGCTCCAGAGAAGAGGGGCCTCAAACGGTATGCCCGTGGATTCAGCTCCCCCCAAGGCTTACTGCTGACGACGTACAAGGGCCCTCTTGGAAGCCCTCGCTACCGGACTCGTGTCCGGGTATGACGCAATCAAAGAATATGTCAGGTGCACCTTGCTTTACCGAACGGTGGACAGAAAGCTAGCCTATAGTATCATGCAATCTGCACTCCAAGAATTGGTCAAGGAAGAACTCGTGCATGTTGATGGTGATGAATCATCATATTCAGCAACACAGCTTGGACAGGCTGTGGTCGCCTCCGCATTTGCACCCGAAGATGGCTTATTTGTCCATGAAGAGTTGAAACGGGCTCTGCAAGCTTTCGTCATGGATGGCGATATGCACATATTCTACATGTTTACGCCCCTCCAATTAGCTGCTGGGACTCACATCGATTGGCGCATCTTTCGAGATCAGCTTGATAATCTGGATGAGAGCGGGCTGCGTGCCCTGCAATTTGTTGGCGTTCAACCTGGATATGTGAATTACATGTGTGATGGATTCCCGACTTTCACGGTATTCGGACATCATGGCGCTAACAGCTATACAGGGCCCAAAGTGGCGGGTCACTAAAAGAGAATTCACCAGAGCAGATCAAGCAAGCTAGAATCTATCAGCGGGCATACACTGCGTTTCAGCTTCGTGATCTGAGCAATGAGGTTCCGTTGTCTGTTATCGCATCACGGTACCAGATACCACGGGGTTCTGTGCAGAGCCTAGCACAGCAATGCCACGGGTTTGCTGCAGGCATTGTCAAGTTTTGTCAACGCATGGGTTGGGGGATGTTGGCTGCAGTTTTGGATCATATGCAGGATCGTTTGGAGGCCGGGGCCCGGGCTGACCTACTCGAAATGGCACAGGTTACATATGTCAAAGGTTGGACTGCCAGACTACTACGAGAAAACGGTTATCGGAATTTGAGGGCCCTGGCAGAAGCGGATGCGAAGGATCTGGTCCCTATTCTGATGATGGTTTGCCAAATCCCTTCCCCCCCCTAACCGTATGATGCTCACAATGAATTAGGTAAACCCGCGCAAAGCGCAGAAAAGCCAGCTTCACCCCGCAGAAGCCGAGCGCTATGCGAAGAAGCTTTTGGCCAAAGCAGATATCATCATTGGGTCGGCCAACCAGGTCTGGGGTACGTCAAGTCTACTCCTTGGATCACGATCATATGGCGCTAATTTTAGCTCCAACCAAACTAGAACGCGAGATGCAGGTGGAGATAGATGAATGAATAATCACTGGATTAGATTGTATATACTTGGACATAACTGACAAGAGTCATTCGCAATCGACCATCAGCCAATGCCGGCACCTTCGGACACTGGGCACGGTCGACCCGCTAAAATTGCTTCTATCGAACCATCCAAAATGACTGCATTGCTGATAGACACCGAGCTCACTTCAGAAAAAAAGAACTGAATTACATAGGAAATACGATTGTGAGCAACACACCGACCAGCGATGCTGGTCAATACAGAGAACTTTATTTTCACACCCCATTGAGCAGACTTTGTGCGGCAATCGGCTGGCCCTGGTCGACAAAATCCAGAAGAATAACGTTTGGTAGCTGGCCATAAATGGAAAGGCATAAATCGGCTTGAGCTCCAATACTGCCCTCGCTTGAGACTGCATTGGTCTCGGCTGCATGCTCCCGGTCTGGGATCAAGATGCCCAGGATATCGACATCCAAAAAGTGGTTAACGATGTACATACGACCGGTCGCTGAAGCCCCCGACGGCCGATCAATGCTACAGGTTGGAAAAGAGGCATCGGTCACATCGTATGGCGTTTCGAAAAAGTAAGCGAATTCATCGAGGATGTAAGGGACCGCTGTGGCATCGGCGCCATAGTCTGAACGAGCTTGTAAGTTATCGTTGCGAACACCGATGATGATCACGTACCCAGAAAAGTTATCAATCGCGTGCCATTGCCGATCAGCTCTCGCAGAGTTGGCCAAGCGTTGATAGCTAGCGTGCTTGGCGATGACTTCGGCACAAATGCGTAGTCGGCGATGGCCGCGCTCTCGAATGCCTCGGCGAAATGAGTCACTGGTAGACTGTCACCATTTGTCAGGAGCAAGGTCACGACTTCGTCTGGATTGTCATCCAGCCAGGCCTTGACGGTGGCCAAATACGACTCCAAGCTTCCGGCATATTCAAGGAGACACGATGTATGGCAGAGGAGGATCGTGTCATTGTCAATCGATTGGTGGGTCTGGCCTTGAAGAAAACGAATCCCAAGGTCCAGTTGCTCGGTAACGTCGATATTTTGGTTCTGCTGAAGAAGGGGCCCTACGAAGGGACTGTCATGAGCGCCAACCTGCGTTACATTCGAGTAGATTCGGTCACAGTAGGCCGACTGGCCGTTGCAGGTTGACTGGGCCAGGACGGGAAGCACGAGAGATGTAGTCGCGGCTAAGCCGAGGACAACAGCTGAGAAGAACATTTTGAACCAGGACGAGCTACTTCTATCTAGAAGAGTACTAGTAGACTAGAGGAAGTAATTGAGATCCGGGCTATTATATATTCTCTTCGAGTTACACATTACTGTGGTGAATGACCAAATCATGGGGTGCGGTAGTTGGAGGGTGAGGGCAATCCCGACGCTTGTGACGCTGGACCGTGAGCTAGCTAGACAAAATAGATTAGACCCTTCAGCAAGAATGTGATTGTGATGAGCAGTACAGGAAGGAGTGCGCGGAATGGGTGGACAATTAGACAAGCCTCAATTTAGAGAGGGGAAAATGGAGCTAGTAGTATAGAGTCGGCGGTGCACGTGCGAGTTCTTGCAAAGATGAACCATTCATCCATTGCTAACTGTTCCCAGATATAGTACCCTCATGATCCTGTCGAGCCAGCTGGGATGATCATGCCAGGCGAGAGGAAGTACTTCTTGACGTACTGTTAGCCACAGATAGGGGTGGCCCAGTCAAAGAATGTTTCTGTTGATGGTAACTGGCAAACAACAATGCCTGCCTGGATCATCGATGTTGAAAGAGGCTGGAGCCCATGCTGCTATATGCCAATCAGAACAAATGGGATGAGTCGTTGCAGATTGAACTGGACGAATTGATTGATTCCCGTCTTTGCCCTCTCTTGTATAGCTATTGATGCTAGAGTTAAAGTTAAGGTTGATGTGTGTTAACGTCAAATGTTTCTGATCTCCCAGAATATATCTGCCTAAGGCGATAAAGGGAGTAGTAGTCAGGCAGTCAGGCAGTCACCAATGCTCCCTCCGGGTTGGAACTAGTCCGCAGCGGGCAGCGGTGCTGACCTTCGGAGTCTCTGCTTACCGCATCAACACCTGGTCTACTCCGTCCGTATGCTCCAGGCTGTTTGGCTTCTTGCATCTTAATCTCCACAGCAAGCATTCGAGGTGATCCCCCGTTGGATCCTCCCTTTCTCCATGACTACCTAGTGGTTATCCCCGATTAAGATAACGGATACAGTACATACACAGTACAGAAGTCCGATGTGGTTGTTGCTCCCCACTCCCAGAAAACTAGCGCCCCCCCAGCGCCCGCTCTAGTTTAGCCTTGGTGAACCATTGCCTGCCACTGCCCTGCCTGCGGCACTAACCTACTACTGCTAACTTACCGTACTTACCTGCCTTCCATCTTCCCACCTTGTCTACCTTGACCGTACTCTCTTACCACACTTCCGCCTCCTCCATCTCAAGCTCGGTTTCGTCCCTGTCATACCTTCGCTGCCGCCATCTCATCACGACACTTCCCCACTAATACCTGGGCCTTGCACAAAAACAAGCTGGGAGAGATGGTCATTCGATCCTGCTGCCGATGAGCTCCATGATCGAGACCAGTAATGACTGGGCACGAGAGGATGAGCTCGACTTGGGACCAGACGACGATGCACTCTCTCCGCCGACCCCCAACGGCATCCCCGACCATGTGCACCCCCATCCACGGTCGGCGTCGGACTCAATGGCTTACGTCGAGGAAGATCTGCCCGATCTAACAACTGAGGACCATGACCCCGCCGTCAAACCACCTCCTGCTGTTGACCCCGATGCGACCGACCTTCCCTCTTCACCGCGTTCCGGGCAGCCCGGCGCTCCCGGTAGTGTTGACGAGACTCTCTCAATCCCCGACGACACTCCTTCCCTGCATGTGCGTCGCCGCTGCCGTTTCGCGGCCGTGGTTCTCCGCTGATTGATTGCCATAGGACTCCATCCTATCGTCGCGAAGCAGCAGCGCGTTGGCCTTCCGTGGCTCCCCTCGACTCAGTCCCAGTCCCTCCCACCGCCCGTTCGACCTTCGGTTTCAATCCAGATTATCTTCTACCTCAATTGGGAACTTCCGATCGGCCTCGCCTTTCCTAGCGCAGTTGCACTCGCGCAAATCCTCCATCACGAGCCACCTGTCTCCCGGAACCGTTGATTCGGGGCCCGACACCCCCCAGGGACCCTGGGATGTCGTGCGCTGGACCAAACTCAGAAAGATCAACGGCCAGGCGTTTTCGGAAGCTGGAAAGCGGAATTTCGGGCATCCGACTTGTATGGTGGTCTCAACGTCAATCGTGGTTGGAACTTCCAAGGGCATAATCCTTGTCTTTGACTACCAGCAGAACCTCAAGACCATTGTCGGCCTGGGGACGAAAGGTAAGCTTCAACATAGCCTTGCTTGGCGCTGATCACGTACTAAGCGTGGGTGTCTAGCGATCGAATGCGGCGCAATCGCATCCTTGGCGCTGTCCGCGGACCACACCACGGTTGCCGGAGGTCATCAGTCGGGTGACATCTTCACCTGGGAAATTTCGCGGTCTGCACGGCCCTTCCTTCACATACCCCCGATACCGGCCAATCTGATTGAGAACCGACCCTCAGATGGTCATATCGCGGGATCACCTGTCATCCATGTGGGGTTTCTGGGGACTCGACGTACCGCACTAGTCTCTGCAGATAAACGAGGAATGGCCTTTTCGCATCTGGCTACGCGTGGTATGGGTGCAGTCGGACGCACGGTGAAAACGAGTAGGATCCTGGGCCGCTACCCTCAGATTTATGCGGAAGGGTTTCGGCCGCGAAAGCCCAGCTCAGTCCTGGCTTTTTCACCTCTTCCCCTGGGCAACACTGAGCAGCCGACGGACTCGCTGGGACTGGTTGCTATGCTTACCCCTTATCTCCTGGTGATAGTGTCAACGACGCCCGTTGCGCAAACCCAACACAAGGCGCCTCGTCCCAAGGAGGTTGCCGCTCATGGCGCGATGACTGGAGCCCTAGCCTGGTTCCCGGCAATTCGCCTGAAGGGGAAGGAGACTGAAACCTCGCGGACAAAGCTGGTCTATTGTTGGTCTAACGTACTGACAGTGCTGGATGTTTCCGAGGTGGAAGCGGATGAATCTCCAAACAGGGACCGACCTCCGGCTCTGGAGTTCAGACCACGAAGCAGATGGAAGGCCGATGAGGCTATTGTAGCTGTCCAATGGTTGAGTCGCTCCGTGATGGCCGTGCTCACCATTACCCAACAGCTGCTCATCCTTGAGGATCACACGATGCGTGTCACAGAAGCAGTTGATCTGCTCAATCGACACATCTACCATGTGGACTTATTCTCTGCCCAGCTCCATAGTCTGGTTGAACAGTTCAATGAAGATGACACAACGATGCATGGTGTAGTAGCGGATGCGTTCTTCATGAGCTTTCGCTCTTACAAAGGTCGATTGTTCCTTCTTGGCTATAATGAACTTCTAATTGGAGGTCTTTCCAACTGGGCTGATAGGTTACTTGCCCTCATGGAGGCGGGTGATTTTATCGGGGCAATTCAGGTGGCGACATCCTACTATCAAGGTAGCGCTGAGAAGCTTACAATTGGTCTCCCTGAAGAGGACGCATTGAGGCAGCCTCTAGTACGAGAAAAGCTCCTGGAAATGATTTCAGCGACGCTCAAGTACGCATTTGGCCGCAACGTGGAGGCGAACAATGAAAGGCTCGATACCATACAGCTCCAGAAGCTGGCCGAGGTGTCAATCTCTGCCTGTGTTTGCATGTCCGAACTAGATTATCTGTGGGATGAAGTGTTCACCTGGTTTGAAGAGAGTGACTCCCAAGGCATCTTTCTCGATGCACTTGAATCATACATTGTTGAGGGAACTGTTCGCTCACTCCCTCCCACTGCTGTCAAGGCTCTAATCAACCATTACGCGACGAACCACATCGCCAGCAGATTGGAAGAGATTATCTGCCTGCTAGATACAGCCACGATGGACATTGACCAAACCACCACACTCTGCAAGCATTATAATCTTTACGACGCCTTCATCTATGTCTGGAATCGCTGTCTTGGGGACTACGTGGGCCCTTTACAGGAGCTCCTTGGGCTCATCCCAATCCAGGAGGCTCTGGCTAATGGAGACTCTACCAGCGGGATTGCACAATATACGAACGCGATGAAAGTGTATCCCTACCTTTCCTTTGTTCTCACAGGCCGGATATATCCCACTGGCGATGATATGGACGAGACGGAGGCCAACCGAGCCAAGGCGACCCTATACGACCATCTGTTCTCCGGTAACCCGCCAGTCACAGGGCAAGGGGAATCCCTTGAGACGTTCCCAGACTTGCGGACCATGCTCAGGTTCGATACAGCTAGCTTCATGAGCATGCTAAACGAAGCTTTCGAAGATAGTTTCCTGAATGATCAGGAGCCGGATGAGACCCCATCGCACGGAGTGTCTGTCAACCGACAGTATCTAATCAGTGTATTACTACAGATAATGACCTCGGACTCCTTTGATGCTTTTGATACCATTCGGTTAGACATGTTTCTTGCTCGCAATCTCCCGAAATATCCTCAATACATTCTCCTCTCGGGCAGCACGCTTCAACAAGTTCTGGAGCGGCTTTGCCGCTGCCCAGACCCCGCGATGGCGGATGACTGTGAGCTAAGCGCTGAGTATCTGTTATCCATCTATCACCCTCCGGACGTACAGGGAATGATACCGCTGTTCAAGGAGGCTCGATTCCTCCGGATCTTGAAATCAACTTATCGCGTGGAGAAACAGTACCCTGAACTCATTCTGACCTACCTTGAAGATCTCAATGAGCAAGAAGCCGTCTTTACCTGCCTACAAGATTGTCTTCGCCCTGGCTCTGGTCTAGGCAAGAAGCAAAAGCGGGATCTTCTTGATGTGGTCAAAGATCATGCCGGTCAGCTCGCAGCGATCAATGTCGAACGAGCAGCGCAGACCATGCATACCTTTGCCCCAGAGACGCATGAAATCTTCTTAAATGCTCTACAGCAAGATCCCTATCGGCAATACCAATACCTGGCCGTTGTGGTGGGGATGGCTCTGCAGTCCGTGACGGAGGGCAGACCCTCCAAGCCCATCGAGAACTGGATGATCGAGCGTTACGTGCAACTTCTCTGCAAGTATAATCCCTCTCGAGTCGCCAACTTTGTGGATGATTTGCGCATCGGTGATGTACGCCTAAAGGAGCTGCTGCCCTCATTAGAGGAGAGTGGCGTAGTGGACGCCGCGGTGATCTTGTTGGCTCGCCAAGGCCAGGTTCGAGCGGCTATGGACCGCCTCATCGCGCATTTGGGGACACTTGAGTCCGGGCTGATGGGCATTCTCCAGAGCATCAACGACGATCCGGACTCTGCAAGTACTACCGACGCCATTAATCACCTTGTAGAATCATTAGAGAAATACACGCGAGTCGGTACTTGGCTCTGTCGGGGCCAAACGAACACAGCCAAGAATTCTCGAGCGATTGAGAAGAATGGCTTCAGCAAAGGAGCCGTCGACCAAGCCCTTTCTTTCGATGAATCCTTGTGGCTCGATTTGATAGAAGCCGTGGTGCGCATTGCCAGTGGTGTTTTTGGCTTGATGCCCAAAAAGCCCTCTGAAACTGGCGATGCTTCAGTGACGGCAACCTCGGCTCCGCTGATGCCGGTTGTTCGCTCGCTGGTCCAGCAGGTTTTCACCACCCTGCTTGCCAGCACGGTGCGGAGTGGAGGGTCGTCAACCAGCGAGCGCAGTGATGTCGCTTTCCTCCGAATCTTGCGTGCCTTCCTCACGCGGGCTGCAAGTTGGTCGCCTTCCCTGCTCGAGCTGCGCGCAGTACTGGCCTCGATCTTCTCTGCCTACACGTACGAAAAGTCACTGCTGGCTCTTGCCAACGGCATGCTGGATCGGGATTTATTCGTGCACGTGGATGAGGTAACACGACTGCGCCAGCGGGGATGGCGACCACGAGGCCAGGTATGTGAGATCTGCCGACAGCGCATCTGGGGACCCGGAGTCGGACCCCAGTACTGGCAGGCCTGGGAGCAGAAACAGGCTCAGGCGCAGCAAAACCGTCTAGCAAAACGGCTCCATGAGCAAAATGATCCTGCGACCGCGCGGGGAAAAGGTAAAGCGGCCGACGTGGGTCAGCCACAATATCTGCTGGAAGGCCATGCGGACGCGGACGCGAACGCTACTGCGGAGGACGCCGAGCAGCCCGCTGGGCCAGTCTTGGTTTTCGCTTGTCGACACCTGTATCATCGTCGTTGTATCCTGGAAGTCGATCATTCTGATGCCGCTCAGAATCAGAATCATCCTCGCCAAACTATCCGTGGCGGGTCGGACTTGGAGGTGTTGTCTTGCCCGGTGTGCCCTGTACATATATAGTGAATGAGCGATTTCAACATGATAATGACTTATTGACCTTACTTAACTTTCGTTTCCTTTCTACTACTATTCCGTCTCTATTGCCGATCACTGCCAGATTCTCTTTGTTGCATGTTGATGATGAATGATGAATGACCGAGCATGAAAACGCCCGATGCGCAGGAGATCGGGCAAAAGACGCCTCATGATTCAGGGTGAGTCTACTTCTTCTTTGACTTCTCTTCCTCCTGTTTTCCTTTCATTCCTGCCGTCCCTCTGGAGACAAGCGGGGAAGCGCTGACTGAGAAGGGCTTGGCTACTGGCCAAGGTTCGCGCGTGTGCTTCGCTGTGCTTCGCGGCAGGTCGAAAATCGCCGCCGATTCGCTTTGTGCATTGACATGCCTGCATTCCTCACCCGCCGCTATTTGACGCCCACCTCATGCACCCTTGGCCATTGGGCTCAATTCTTCCCCCTAACCCGAGGTAGCTACATCGAATGCCCTGACGAAACCGAGTCTAATCCTGGTTCTGTCTCATCACTGGTCAACAAAGATCAGTTTTCCCTGGATCATACACCTTCCCCTATCAATCCGTGACATAACCACGCGCACATGGGCCTGCCATCTGCCACAGACTGCCACTCACGCCATGCGACAGGTCTCAAGGACTGGTCTGCTGCGTGAATCATGGTTGACGCCACCAGTTACTAGTGTATGAGCTTGTCCTTTCAAGTTTCCTGTTTACGCAGGGAAACAAAAAGAAAAAAAAAAAAAAAAAAAAAAAAAAGAGCCCTGGCCTATATATATCGCTGCTTCCATTCCGTCGCGGGCAAAATGTCTACGAGACCATCACAATTCTGCGACACTCCTTAGGTTTACACCTCATTGTTTCTACAGCTGGGCTGTTAGTCTTCATTCATTCTGCTTTTTAGGTAGTCCTACTACCTGTCCACTCCCTAGCGACATATCAACAACACTCTCTTGCCCTACATTGCGCTCTACCTCATTCTACAAGCGCCATGCGGACTTATACTTTCCTCCTGGCAGCTTTCGGCCTTACGGCGCAGCTCAGTACTGCAACCTATACATTGCTGGATGACTACACCAGCTCGTCATTCTTTGACCGCTTTACGTTCTTCACTGACACAGATCCTACCCATGGCTTCGTCAGCTATGTCGACCAATCTACCGCCCAGGGTGATGGCTTGATTTCAACCAACGCAGACGGATCAGTCTATATGGGTGTGGACTATACCAACGTGGCTAGCAGCGGCCGGGATAGCGTGCGCATCACTAGCAACAGCGAGTATACCCACGGGCTGTTCATCTTGGATCTGGCGCACATGCCGGGTGGAATCTGCGGCACCTGGCCAGCCTTGTGAGTTGTTTCTAGCGGTATGGTTTCAGTCGTTATGCAAACCTAACGAAGAGAGAAACAGCTGGCTTCTCGGCTCCAACTGGCCGAACAACGGCGAGATCGACATCATCGAAGGCGTCAATCAGCAGACCAACGACTTGATGACCCTCCATACCAGCGACGGCTGCAGCATCGACAACTCCGGCTTCACCGGCACCCTGACAACCAGCAACTGCTATGTTGATGCGCCGGACCAATCCAGCAATGCGGGCTGTAGCATCACCTCCCCCAACTCCCAGTCCTACGGAACCTCCTTCAACTCGCTCGGTGGCGGTGTTTATGCCACGGAGTGGACCAGCTCCGCCATCAATATCTGGTTCTTCCCCCGAGGCAGTATTCCTGCCGATATTACTGCTGGCATCCCCACCCCCGCCACCTGGGGAACCCCGGCGGCCAGCTTCGCGGGCTCCTGCGATATCGACTCGCATTTCGATGCCATGCAGATTGTATGTCCCCTAAACATCTGGCCCCCATTTCAACTCTCTCCCCCGAAAGTCCCAAGACTGTTGCTAATTCCCGACACACAGGTCTTCGATACAACCTTCTGCGGCGACTGGGCCGGCAACGTCTGGAGCTCGGGCTCGTGCGCCTCCTACGCCAGCTCGTGCACCGACTACGTGGCGAACAATCCGTCCGCCTTCGAGGACGCCTACTGGACCATCAACTCGTTGAAGGTCTACCAGGACGCCAGCATCAATGGGGTCCTGAATGCAACGGCGTCGGGGAGGTGGCCGGGCCTGTCGCAGCACACGCGCGGGCCGGTGTTCACGAGACGCGGACGCAGGGAATCCGGAGGATATGAGTATGCGTTCCGCGGGTGATCGACCTGATGGGTGAGGGTCCAGTTGCTGGGTACTTTCGCTTGGTTATGGTTTGTTGTGTGTGTTGGATTTTACGGAGGAAAGAGGACACTCGCTTGACTTCATCTTTAACACTTCACCTTTGTTCTGCCGGGACGTGAGGGGCTCAGCGTAAACCAACTTAACCACGCAGTTTCACGCTCGCTATCATCTGGAAGCCGCGGGGAGGGCGGCCGCTGTTTCGAGGGTACAGGTACAGGTGTGGGTTCCATTCGTTTTGACCACTATGGTAAACGGGATATGCCAAGCCATTTTCCATGATAGGGGGAAGTTGCACTCTTTTCTCGCTGATGGGGACATCAAGACGCTCGTTCTTTTTCTTTTTGGCTGGACCAAATGCAGACTTTTGGAGAGATGGTCTGAAGAGAGGTTAGAGATTGGGGATTGTGTTTTCGTTTCTTGTATATATGTGCGGATTCGGCAGTATATACCCTTACTTTCGTTTACTAGATACAATCAATTTCCTAGATAGGAAGCAACGCGATTCCGCACTGGGATGTATTCTGATCTTTGTAGGTTTCAAGAGCTTCTCTATGTCAGCAACGATACATACCTAACCAGACCAAATCAGACTGGTCAAACATGAAACCCATGTCTTATACAGCGCAGCCGCCAAGTAAAGAACTACACCACACCAGAGAGCCGAAAATTACGGAGTGTGAAATAATATGAGATGTGTAAAGTAAGGCTCAAGGCTTTTTATCTTCCCCCCCTAAATGCTTTCTTCATTATTTACACTAGGCTAGGTGCTTTGCATAAGGCTGATGCCGCTTTAGTGCTTCTTCTTGCGACCCTCCGTCCCCTTCTTGATGATCTTCTGGCGCTTGGAGTCGATCTCCTGGTCGTAGATCTCGCGGGCGGATTCGCCCTTCTTGCGCTTGGTCTGCTTGGCGGACTTGACGCTGACGGTGGAGGCGCCGCCGGAGCGGATCTGCTTCTCGGCCTCGTCCCAGGCGGTGCTACCGTTGTTGATCTCGTATCTGGAGGCTGTGATATCAGTTATTGTTCATTCCGAGGTTGGGGTGTTGGCTTTTGGGGGAGGGTTGGAGGGGCGGGGGTATTAACGGGGGGAAGGGGGAAAACGAAAGAGGATGTGGGCTAAGGGGCTGGGGGCAACTAACTTGTCCAGAGGAAGGGCATCGATCAGAGCTCGCTGCTTCTCGCGCAGCTCCTCGTCAATCTGCTGGCCGCCCTCGCGGAGCTCGTCGTCGAGGGTCGTCTCCAGGGGCTTGAAGCGGTCCTCCATGACCTCGTCGTGGGCCTCGGTGACCTCCTGCGCGGCGAGGGCGGCCTGCTGCTGAGCGGGCATGGTCTCGGCGACGGCGCCCTCGAGGACGGCGCGGAAGTGCGTGGACATCTTGCGAATGATCTTGAGGAACATGGCCAGCAGCTGCGAGGACGGCAGGCTGATCTCCTTCTCCAGGGCCTCGAGGTTCTTGCGCTGCAGCCCGATGGCCAGGAGGATCGACTGCTGGACGCCCGAGAGGCTGACCTTGCCGCTGAGGCGGCCGGAGAAGTAGTACTCGGCGATCGTGGGCACCATGTCCAGGATGACGTGGTAGTCGAGGAGGTTGTTGGCGTAGCTGTCGAGGCGCTTGAGGTCGAAGGGGGAGAAGGCACGGTCCAGGTCGGCCTTGGTCAGGGCCACGGGGGCGAAGGAGGTGTCGAGCTTGGCGCCCGCGTTGGCGGACTCGCAAATGCTGAGCGACAGCACCGAGGGGAATTCGCGGAACTGGTACGACAGCAGCGAGTTGAACCGCTTGTGGAAGTCCCGCGAGAACGCGCCCAGCCAGCTGGCGTCGTTGGGGCCGGTGGCCAGCGTGCGCAGCATCACGCACGAGTGCTCGCCGGTGAGGTCGTTCGGGGTCTGCCGGAGGTAGACCGGGGAGAAGGAGGACCGCTTCCAGAATTTGTGCAGCGAGGGGGTCAGGCCGAAGCTGACACCGAGGTAGTCCAGCGCGTCGGGGCGGCGCTCGGACAGCTTGCCGAACAGGGGTGGCATCCTGTGAATGTCCCGGACCTGGATGTTGTCGTCCAGGAGGCTGGCGTTGGCCAGTTCCTCGTCCGTCACGCGAACCATCTCCTCCGGTGCGTCAACGGCGTCCTCCGACAGGCTGGTGAACTTGCCCTCGTAGAAATCGGTTAGCAGCTCCAACGCGCGGGAGCCGTAACCCATGTTGAGGTATTCGGGGTTTGTGGCGATGCGGACCACCCGGGCACCGGAGAGACCGGCGAAGTCTTCGTCCTGGTACTGTTGACTGACCAGCCAAGGAATCAGGTCTCCTCCGGCGCGCTGGCCGCGGCTCAAGCTGTTGAGCACGCTCTGTCTGCTGATGCGACCTTCCAGCGCAACCTGGATCACAACAAGGGGCTCGGGAAGCTTCGTGGCCTCCTCATCGATGGGCGGGACAAGGACAAACAACTGGTGTGCGGGGGCGTCACTCATGAGCTGAAGATCATTAGGGGTATTCTTGTAGTGGCTGGCCACGTAGAGGGCCATCATTTGCTGCAGGAACTTCTCGGAAACAGGGTGGAAGGAGAACAGGGTATCACGGTTGACTTGGAGCAGTTGGCACTGCGACGGGTGGGGGCAGCCCTGAGTGTTCATCCGGGACTTGGGCAAGGTTGCGTCAAGACACAGGACCTTGTTAAGCCACTTCTCCACCGAGTCGCCAGGAGCATAACGGATGGGTTCCGACAGGGTGATCTCCCGGAGCGAACGACCACCCAAGCCCTTGTCGGCGTTCTTGGCCGCTTTGCCGGTCGCCCGATCAGCGACATCAATGTCTTCCTCGCCACTAGCCTTCAGTCCTCCTCTTGACTGCTCACGAAGCTGCTGAATCAGCTTCAGGGAAAGGGACCGACCCGTTCCTTCGTAACCGTTGATTGTGGAAGCCATGAAAACCAGATACGGGCCCATCAGCTTGCGGACCAAAGGCAGGGGAATGGCGGCAGCTTCATCAATCACCAGCAGTTCCGCTTGGCCCAAAACATGAGCATCCTGGGGCTGGATGTACTGGATAGTCTGGCGATGCTGACGGTGGATGTTGACGCGGACAATAGCCTTGTTGAAATCGGGGTTCGTCGACTGCAGGATGGTGTAATCGACATGGTCCATGTAGCCGAGCGCATCGAATCCCTTGAACACGAACTCGAATAGAGTCTTCAAGTTCTCGGGGCTGGGCGATGTGATGAAGATGTTACTGTATCCGTGGGCTACGGCGGCAGCAATGGCAACACCGAGCGCTGCAGACTTGCCGCGACCTCTGCCGGCAGTCAAAGTCACAGTGCTGCGGAGGGTCTTCTCGGCGATCGCATCCACGAAGGTAAGCAGCGCCTTGGCCTGATCCACGGTGCGAGCCAACTTGACCAGAGGCCCGACCAACTGAGACTCTTCCAAGCTTTCCTTGATCTCCTTCAACTCCTTCTTGGTGCCCGTGTTGTTCTCGTCGATCGACTCCGGGGGTGGCAGGGGCTTGACATTCTTGCCTCCAGATATGGGCAGAACGTTCATTTCGTCGTCCAGAACGAGGCAGGAATCGCAGCTGCCCAGGGAAAGGATGAAACGCTCGTTGAAACGAGCCACCACGTCGTCATGCGCCTCGGTCCTGTACCGTGAGTGGATGTCCATCGATAAGGTGTAGAGTTGCTTCAAGCTGCTCATTCCCTTCAGCAACAGCAGAACGATACCACCTCCCTCCACAGTTTCGACCGTCCGGGCGAGCAAGTTGGGCGTCATAGCTTCGAAGTCTTGGAGAATACACATGCCGTAGGTGTTACCGAGAATCTTCTCCGTTTCCTTGTAGTAGACATAGCGAATCTGGTTCAGGGTGATGAACAGCTCGAACGGGTCCTCCTGATTGGGCTCTCTGATACCACGCTTCACTTCCTTCTTAATCTTCGCCTCGCGCTTCTTGCGGTGGCTGGTGAAGCCCAAGAGATCCTTCTTGTAAGCCCATAGAACGGATTTGTTCTGCTTGACATCGACGCTGGACATGATGTAGTGCAGGTTGACGATGACATCCTTGGCGCGGTCGCCGACCACCACGAAGAAACTTCTCTTCTTCTCTTGCACGCCGTTCCGGATGAGCGCCGGGATGCGCGAGTCGATAGCCTTGCGAGGCATGATGGTGAGGCGGTCTCTTCGAGAACCGTTTTTACCCTTATCGCGGTGGGTTCAATTGAGTTCCGAGTCGAAATGCTTCCACCCGGCCGAGGAAAATTCGTGAGACAGCGGCGGAAACCACAGACGATGCCGGAAGTTGTGTGTCTGTGAGAACCGGACGGAAACAGCGCGCAACTGTTAACTGAGCAGACCACAGACCAGGTCCTCGATAAGGGAGAGGAGACAGATGGTCAAGTGTTGGGGGAGATTGGAGATCACACTCTCTTGCTGCGGTTCGGCGCAAAGAAAAAAAAAAAAGTTATCGGCGACCGGGCCGCAGCTGCCCATGGCCACCGCCTACTGAAAGCGATACCGCCCTGCTGGCACGTGCCTTGCACGGTGCCTGAGTATGACTAGTCTCAAAGTGGTATGGTTTGGCTCTAGGCCAGGCTCTGCGGGAACGGGTTTCTCACGTGATACTTGGCAAGGCTGCTCTCTCAATACCTCATTCTATCCATGATGGATGGCACTGTTCATTGGTCGTGGTTGAAGGCTCAATTGGAATCTTCGCACCGGGAGGCTACATGTGGATCCCATCACTATCGATTCTGACAGTCCAGGAAGATATCATCCAGCCATCCAGCCATCCAGCCATCCAGCCCCAGTGACGGTGGAGCTGCAGGGGAAATTGACCCGTTGCTATTTTAGGGCCCGTGCTTCCCAATCCAGATCAGCCTTCGATTCGGTGTTGGATGGGTTTTGATAGTAGAGAATTTCAATCATATTGGATGGCAGTGAGTCGATCGATGAAGCCGAAGACGACCCATCATGATCATGGATCACAGGAGCAGATTCCCAGTCGGGGATAGTGGCAGCTGGACTGGCATTGCCAGACGCGTGGACTTGTCTTGGGATTACGCCGATCAGTAGGAGGAGTGAATGGGCTGGACCCTGGCGCTAGATTGAACGAAATCATGATAGGGGAGTAGGGGAGAAAAGACTGACATGGTTACATACCAGTCCCGGTGCTGACGTGCGTGAGCGAGCGGGAAAACATTGATGATGGCCAGATTGCAACCCTCGGTTCCATGGGCCAGAACAACTTCCATTTCTCTTGCACGCTTCGTTCTACGCCTCTTTTTGCTTGCTTGCTTGACGCAAACCCCCAATCTTCGAGACCACGCTTGGCGTCAGTAACTAGTCTCTTTTCTTGTCGCTTTTTCCCCTTGCTCTTAGTCTTATCTTCTTGATTCCTTCTTCTCTGCCTCGTCTTTATTTCTCCTCCTCTTCCTCTTCCTCCTTCAATTCTTCCATCCCCTCTTTCCCCTCCTTCTCCTTCTCTTCCCCCTTTTGTGTCTCTCCTACCACCCCCCCCCGGATCCAGATCGGAAGGAGAAATACGCATCATAGAAAAGAAAGAGAAAGAAAAACACCTAGCGAAAGTCTTGACGTCTCCACTTCCTACCCGTGCGGGATTGCCCCAGCCATTCTCCTCTTTTCTTGTTCTTCTCCGTCCTCCGAAACACCCAAGCCCGAAAGCTCTTGGCCACACTGGGTCTCGTCCCCTCGTCACTTTTCCCTCCACGCGTTCTTTTTCCTAAATTCTCCCCCCCTCTCCGTTCTCCTCTCGACCTGACCTGTCTTGCGTGGTTCCAATCCAAATTATGATTCCTATGTGCTGCATGAAATAAACGATCGGTCCATGTAAGAATGGCTATGCGACTTGCAGACGCATGATTGTCTGATTCGGAATGGTACACTTCTCCGCTGAGACGGGGCTCAAGGCCTCTGTGGGGTGAGTACAGTACTTCACGCCTTCCCATTGATTCTCCTCCTTCCTGGGTCTTGTGCGTGCTAATCAAACCTACAATAGAATCTTTCTGCTCAGCTGCACATTTCTCGCAACGTCTTACAACACTACTTTTGCTTTCGGTCAGTCATGTCCATTTAATAGAGAAATACCTATACTGGGACCTCTCGGGGCGCATAGCAGCCACGGCCCGGCTCGCTAACACTTTCCTCCAGATCATCCCCTCAACACCGCGGTGGTAACATGTCTCGTCGCTGCGTTCTCCCTTCTGATACTCAGTCGCTTCATCAACCGAATCCCAAGTCCGTCATCCTCTGTACACAAGTACAGCGTCATACCTTTGACAGAGCGCGAACAGGCGATCGACGAACCTTCGTCGCCGATTAGCCTAGAGAGCAGCAGTAGCAGTATCACTCCTTCAAAAACGCGCAACCCGGCCCGATGGTTCAAGATTGGCCTAGTTTCCGTGCTTGGCTGCGTCCGCGTTGGTCTGTATCGACAGATCACCGCAAACATTGAATGCGCACCTGATGGCTACGCGGTACGTGCGCCCGCACACAGAACAGAGGCAGACGCCAGGACTAACAGCGATGTCTTGATTTTAGTATGCAATCCCCTTCTTCATTGCTATTTATGACTACTGGCGCAACCAACGGGGTCGATCAGCTACGAATTGGACCGCCCCTGACGGCCCACAAAATGCGCCACTTCGCACCATAGCGACTATTGCCAGTCGCATTCACTACTTCGTCTTTCGCAGCCAACTACGATATGTCGCGTCAGCGGCTAGTTTGTTAGCGAGCGGATATCTGGCTGTGGCATTTGATAAAGGGCGCGAATCGACGTACATCTGCGCCACTGTTTCAGGCCAGTACCCGCGCCTACACACTTTGAGAGTTTTGAGCGCCATCTTAGATTCTATGATTCTGATTGGTGCCGCGGAGCTGTCTAATGAAGCGGCGCGACCTCGCGACGGCAGGAGGAAACAAACTTTGGTGTCTTGGGGGTTCAGTTTACTCGTGAGTCATTCATATTACCGTCTGTGGATTTAGGAGTCTGACCATAGCGGAATTCAAGGGTGTGGCTGCCTTCTGGGGTACTATTGTAGCCTATCTTACTATCAGGTCTCATGGCAGCGAGGATTTTGTCAACCCTCACTTCCTGCGAAGTGCTATAGGCCAGGGTGCGCTGGTGGCTTGTGTCATAGTCTCAGCATCTCAGCTAGTGAGTTTGTCGCATCGGGCCGCGCAATACGGACTTGCTAACTTGGTCAGATCCCTCACTATGGTGTCGTCGGGCTCTCAGTCCTGGCCGGCTTTGTCTCCTTGTATTACACCTGGACTGCAACCCTTTTCGACGGACATCAGCCATTCCCACTCGTCACTGCACCTCGCGCTTTCGCCGCTCTACTCTTGAACTACCTCGGGGGGTTGTCATTTCTATACGCGCGAACGGTCTCGGAAGAGGAACCGCAGTTCCTTTATCGGTTCAATATCACCTTGCGCGTTGCCTTGACCGTAATGGCAGGAATTGGCTTTATTTTCGTAACGCAGCAAGGCAGTGTCGCCCATCTGCATCCGATCGATTTGCTCATCTATGAGGGCAGGCAGCACCATGACAAATGGCTTCATAGGGCCAATAGCAGTCAAACCTTGGCCGATGCTGTCGCGCAGTACCGTCTGCAATATAACCAACACCCGCCACCGTAGGTTCAATTTTCTGGTCCTTGGTGCATGCCTCAACTGATGTTGAACTAGGAACTTCGACAAATGGTATGAATTCGCCATGAACAAATCCTCCCTGGTTATCGATGATTTCGATGAGATCCACAACAACCTGCTTCCGTTCCGTTCCGTACCCCCGGCAGCAATCCGAGATATGACGCACAAACTAGCCACCAACCCATACAATGAAATTGGTGCTATCAGCATCCGCAATGGCACGGCCAGAGTTCAAGAGGGCATCAAGCCTACCCATGCTTGGATGGTCATCAGTGCCGCCAAGATGGTCGCGAAATTCGCCGAACACTTGCCAGACATGGATCTGGCCTTCAATCTGAACGATGAGCCCCGGGTGGCTGTACCCTGGGAGAAAATGAGCGCCCTCAAAGACCAAGCCCTTTCATACCCCGTGCTACCGGACGAACGCATATCGAATGAATGGTCAACCGGCCGTAGCGACCAATGGCTGCCAATCGAGCCGGCTGATCAAACGCCCGACACTATGTTCGTTGACAATTCGTTTAAGAATATCTTCGACCGCTACGTGAGCGCGACTTGTCCGCCATCTTCCAAGGCACGCTCTCAACGCATATGGGACCGCCGTCATCTCTGCATTAGCTGTGTTCGACCACACTCCCTGGGCGAGTTTCCATCCGACTGGGCCCTGGCGACTGATATTTGCCACCAGCCGGACCTGGCCCACCTTCACGGCTTCTTCATGTCACCAGCCTCTTTCAAGGTCTCACAAGAACTGATTCCAGTCTTCAGCCAGAGCGCGATTGCCGGGTTTGGTGACATCATTTTCCCAAGTCCGTGGAATTACGTCGACAAGATCGAATACAAACCGTCGACGGACTACCCGGACGCGAACTATACCGACAAATCAAACACCTTGTTCTGGATTGGCAGTACCTCCGAAGGTATCAGCCACTCAGGCGAATGGAAAGGCATGCCGCGACAACGCCTCACCCATCTAATCAATAATAACACACACAATCACGTCTCCGTTTTCCTACCTACAGCGGACAACACTACCGACTCGTACCGCTACCAGATCCTCCCCGGCACCTCTCCGTCTTCCTCCCTCCACCTCGACACAGCTGTTCAAATTCTCGACCCGATCGTCCGCTGCAGGCACAAAGACTGTGAGGACCAGACTGCCGAATTCGGTCTCTCGGGGCGAGTGGACTTTCAAGCTCACTGGCAGAACCGATATCTCTTCGACGCCGACGGCGCCGGCTTCAGCGGCCGTTTCCTTCCTTTCATGCAGAGCCACAGCCTCCCCTTCAAGACGGGGCTGTTCCGCCAATGGTTCGAAACACGCATCACCCCGTGGCTACACTTCGTGCCCGTCGATGTCCGCCTTCACGGCCTGTGGAGTACACTGGCATATTTCTCGGGCGTCGAATCCAGCGACCATTCCGCCACTCCTCAGAAGACGGCCCTCCTCAAGCCCCACGATATCGAGGGCCAATGGATCGCAGAGGAAGGCCGGAAGTGGGCGGCGCAGGTGTTACGGAAGGAAGATATGGAAGTCTACTTCTTCAGGCTTCTGTTAGAGTGGGGGCGGCTGACGGACGATCGACGAGAGGAATTGGGCTACAAGCTATAATTATAGGTATGGCCCCCGTGAGTGAGGGTCATAGGCTATCTCTCATCTACCCTATTTTGATGATAATGATGCAGTCTGGTGGGAAGAGGAGGCGACGGACATGTGTAATGACTATACTATCTATTGTAACTTTGTGTGTTAATCCTTGTTTAATTTATCTCTTCGACTGGAATATATTCTAATCTTTACTTCTTGTGAATACTTCTTAATGAGGTATGAGATGTTTTGACGCTGATGGGGTGATAATTTGACTCGTTTTCCATACGCTTGCTTGCAATAACTTGTAAAACATGTTTCCTACCTAATTAAAAACACTATGGGTAATGCTACTGTGGTGAATGCACCCGTACATGGGGGAATTAATCTCACAATTCGTCATGTTCGGCAGCGATCACGGGCTTCTCTTCTTCCTGGGCCTCCTCGACGATCACCCCCTCGGGCAACTTCTGCTTGGACCCCTCCCCGAGCCGGATGGCATCCACCCACGCGTCGACGCGCTCGATGCTGAAATCCGCATCAGCGGGCTCGTACTTTCTCCACCATCCCCGCCGGCCGTTAACAGCCACAATCTCCAGGTCCTGTTCGGCCAGCGCCAGCGCCGCGCGCAGGGCCTTGGCCGCGCCGTTGGTGGCTGGGACACCGTACAGCGGGAACAGTTTGCTCTTGTGGAGCGCGTGCTTGTGCGTCACCTCAGCCAAACTGGCCAACGCGACTTGCGCCGCCGAGCTCTCCGTCTCGGGTTCAGTCTGCTCTTGTTGTTCCTCCGGAAGAAGGGCCAACACACACGTGCCGGACTTGGGCTCCAGACAGGCGGCGGCAAGGGCCTCCGGGGTCGTCAGGAGTTCGATCGGAGGCGCGGGAACGGGTGCCGCAGGGGCCGACTTGGGCGACTCCTCCTCTGCCTTGGCGTCGTCGGGCTGGGCGGCCTGCTTCTCTTCTTTGTCGGCCTTCTTCTTCTTGGGAGGAACCGGAGCAGGATCGGGGTTCGGCGCGGCGACCTGGCTCAGGAACGCCACGAGCGGCGCCTTCTTCAGCTCCCCGTCGTAGACGATGGCATCCTGCTCGGTTCCGCCCGCGGGCACCAGCACGACCGTCGGGAACGCCGTGACCCCGAACCGCTCCACGGCCGCCGTCTCCTTGCTCCGCACCTGGGCGACCTGGATCGCGCCCAGGAAGTCGATGGCCAACGCGCGGATCAACGCGCTAGTGGTGCCCTTGTCCGTGAAGAGGATCGCTTTGGGCGTCGTCGCCGCCGCATCACCGTTCGTGGAAGCGAGCCAGCCATCGAGATCTTTATCGGTCAGACGGCGCACGTGGTTCGGGATGCGGTCGACGACGGCCTCCACGATGGCCTTGGCGGTGCGCGCGCCCTGGTAGTCCTCCACGCGCGGCTTGCCGGGCTTCTTGCCGGGGATCACGATCTTCAGTGTCGGGAAGCCACGCACGCCCATCTGGCCGCAGATCGGCTTGTTGGCGTCCTCGTCGCAGTTGATGGCGGCGACTTTGGCCAGGCCGTCGAGGTTCTTGGCGGCTTTTTCGTAGGCGGGCTTCAGGTTTTGGCAATGGCCGCACCAGGGGGCGTAGAATCTGGAGGTTTTGCAGGGGTTGTGTTTAGAAAGGCGGATTGTTGCGGGGGGTGAGGGGAAGGACGAAGAGGAGGAGGGTTGGCTTACTCTACAATCTGTTGGTGGTAGGTGATGTGTTAATTCAGGGTTGACTTGGTAAGTGGGGTTCGCGATGGAAGCTTACCGATGTGTGATTCGATTGGGCAATGAGTTGGTCATAGTTCTTGGATGTCACCTGCAGCACAGGAGATTTCTTCGTGTACAGTCCATCGGCTTGGACGGGCAAAGCCGCCAGCAGCGACGCGGCGAGGAAAACAGCTGAGCTGGGCGGAAGCATTGTGCGGCGTTGTTGTCTGGACTACCAGACTGGATGAATGACACGAGTTCAGTTCAGTACTCTAGTAGATGTACTGCATGACAGTCAACGTGGAAGAGAAGAAGAAGAAGAAGAAGAAGGAAGATTGAAGCAAGGTGTCCTGAAGCTCTTGGCATGTGACATTGACTTGGATTAATTGGTTGATTTTCCATGTATGTATACAGGCAGTTTCTTTCCACCGCCTCTGTATCTGGAAAGTTCGACAGGCAGAATTAAGCAGGCGGTGAATGGCTACTATCATCCCGCATCCTCGCGAGTCTCCGTATATCCGAAGTAAACACCACCACCACCACCACCAATCAACCAACCACCAACAAACAATTTGCCTTGCAGACTCAAATGCGCTCTTCCCCGCTCTTGCATCCCTGCATGACGCTTCCATGGCTAGCTAACTGTGGACCTTATTTGAGCGTAGCTCAATCATTGTCTCATTACCATAGCCTCAACATCTTCGTGTTTCCATGATCACACGACATCTCTCAACCCCGCAAGTGCCCAGCAAACATGTCTGCAGCTATGGAGCACGAGGGCACCACGACGACCCTGACAGCTCTACCCCGGGAAATCTTCTGGATGGTCTTCAATCAGCTTTCGCCGAAAGACATCATCACTTGTCGTCGGGTCTGCAAACTATGGAATCAGGCTTTCAGTAGTCCTCTGTACCTCATCCCGCTGCTGAGACAGCTCTTCCCTCGAGCTCGAGAGGTGCAGGAGCTCGACCACGAGACGAACACGGACGATGCGCCGCCCGCAGCCGCAGAGGACGATTATTGGCGCAAACTCTTCGATCGGGTTGCGTCTCGATACGATCATCTGCGTCGCGGCCAGCCCCAATCTGTGCAGAAATACAGATTGTGTGATGACTTTGGCGTCACGGGCGAGCGGGAATGGTTCCCAGTCCAGCCGTGGGAGACCCACGCCAGCCAGCTCGTGCAGCGCGTGGACTGCCTGTTCTCTGAGTCTTTCTGGTACTACGAGGAAGGCGTGGTGGTGTACCCGAGTGCGGACCATGCCTGCTTGGTCCTCATGGACCTAGACACCAGCCGCCGGTTCATGGTGCCCTTCATCATCACCGGCAAAGTCATCCGGCGCCTCCGCCTGCAGAAGCGGGTGCTGGTGGTGGAATGGGCCGAGCCCAAGGCCTTCCACTGGCTCAATGACAGTGACGGCGTGCATCGGCATTTTGCCTCTTCGTTCGACGTGACCCAGTCGCCGTCGACCGGCACATGGAGCATCACCTTCCGCAACGAGTGGAAGATCATGTTCCTCGGCCATCCGCTGAGTGAGAGAGACCGATTCTACTCGACCCACAGCAAGACGCATTATGCGATCTACATCTGGCAGCCGAACCGCAGCCTGTACACGGCCGACGACGATGCCCCGATCGAGTCGCTCTCGGTCTGGGACATCTCCGCCCCGTCATCGTACCGGCCCTCCCTGGATCCTACGGGTCGTCTGCGCGAGGAGGCCGAGGACCAAGGGCCCCCGATCGTCTCTCGGTTCGGCTTCAGAGAGCTGGGCTTCTATTCCGTGCGACAACGAGGCCTTCCAGGCGTGCAGTGTCTGAATATCACGGACGATGATCATTCGATAGAAATTGTCGAGAGTCGATGTCCAGAGCCGCAGGTGCGTAGGGGTCCAGCGGATTGGATCACGGAGGTTCGGGTGACTACGATCCCCCTGGTTGGAGATGGCCCTGGTTGGAGACGAGCGGTGGATGTCGCCCTGCCCCCTTATCGCGGCAATTGTAGCTTGCAGACGGGTCCCCTTAGGTCCTCTCCATGGAATGAGCCATCATATGCCATTGTCTCGGAAGCGTACGATGACAGAGCCCAAGTAGGGTATTGTCTATATATGTCTTCGATCCGGTGGCCGTTCGACATGCGGATGCTTCTGAGCATTCAAACCCCTACTTCACACACCAGACTCATGCAGGATGAGGCATTTGAGCTCACCGGCAGAGGGAAGATCTACGGGAACGAGAGGTACATTGTTGGTGAGAACGGGAATCGTGAACTGGTCGTATTCAGATTTGATAGATAGATTGATTAGAAGTTCGCGAAAAAGGAAACCGGCTCCATATCAAGAATTACATGCCAAATCCCTCTCTCTCCCGTCATTCCAACCCATTAAATGTTCACCCTCGTAAGATCCCGTCCCAGGCAACAACAGACCACGATCACGATCTAAGCCGCCGGCGCCATAAACTTGCACGCCACGCACGCCTCTAGCCCGCAACCGGGGCAGGTGAGCGTAAAGATCGGCTCCCACTGCCCGCAAATCTTGCACTTCGCCTGCCCATAGGCTTTGTCCCAGTACCCCAAATGGTGGCATTCATGTCCCTCGTTGCAGCCACGCGTCGCCGCCTCCCGGAACGTACGCCGCACGCCTTCCATCCACCCGCAGAAGGTCTCCAGGATGATCCCGCGGCATTCAACGATCATGTCGTCCGGGGTGTACTGACCGTCGCCTCGGTTGAGCTTGGACTCGAAGTATGGAAGCAGCGGCGTGAGGTAGGCGCTGAGGCCGTGTGGGGGTGCTGCGATGATGGTGGGCCTGGTGAGGGAGTCGGTGGAAATGGCGAGGTCTTCGTACGCGGTCACGAAGTCGGAGTCGGATTGCTCTGCGGCGGCTGGGTGCTCGGTTCTGGGGTCGTGGAAGTGGTAGGTTGCGAAGAGGGAGTTGGTTTCGAAGGGGGTGTCGATGGGGCTGGCTGAGGTCTTTGGTGTGATTTGGGTGTGATCGTGATCGTCGTGATCGTCGTGATTAATGTGTGGGTTGTGGTTGTGGACTGTTGAGTCGTCTTTAACGGAGTCGTCTTCAAAGTCTTCTCCTTCGTCACCGTCGACTTCATCTCCCTCGGAGTCGTTATCTTCGTCGTCTGTGTCTTCGTCGTCATCTTTATCGTCGTCGTCGTCGCCGGCGCCGGTTGTGCTGTCCTTGGAGAACTTGTCTGGCAAGCTCATGCCCCAGGGCATCTGGCCAGGATACCGGAACCAGTCTTCTTCATCGTCGGCGATACCCTCGACCCTTCCACACATGCATACTTCTTTCCGCTTCGGGCCAATATCCTCTTTGCAGAACATCTCGTGGAAGACTTCGGCCCCGGGGGTTCCATACTATTCAAACTTAGTATGGCCCTTAAGACTGCTCTAGAACCAGGAGAAGCTGGCTAGACTCACACATTCATCGTTCTCCTTCCAGTCAGCGTCTTTTTGTCCTTGCGTACAGCCTGGCTGTCCATCCAGATCCATCTTCTCATTGCCTTCTCCCAGATCATTGTCCGCTTTAACACCCGCCTGCGAGTTCTCGTCTTCCACCAAGTCCACCAGATCGGCTGATTGATGGTGGTCTTCAAGAACGACCTCGGTTGCAGACCCGGTGCTTCCTTTGCTGGTCACAGTGGGCATTTCTGCGTGGTCTTTGGCATCATCCTCAAGGTCAATCAGATTACCCATGGAGGTGCTTTCCTCCTGCCCATCGTTTTCACCCTCTGATAGGATGTCAGCACTATCTTCTTCGTCAGACTGCTCCTCCTCGCTGTCTTCTTCGTCTTCCCCTTCCTCTTCGTCGTCGTCGTCGTCGTCCTCCTCCTCTTCCTCCTCCTCTTCCTCCTCCTCTTCCTCCTCCTCTTCCTCCTCCTCTTCCTCCTCCTCTTCCTCCTCCTCTTCCTCCTCCTCTTCCTCCTCCTCTTTCTCCTCCTCTTCCTCCTCCTCTTCCTCCTCCTGTTGCCGTCCCCAAGAATACTTCGTAGACTTCCAGGCCGCATCCGGATCCAACAGACTAGCCATCCACTTGGCGTGCCTGTCCTCCTGAGCCAGATCCTTAGCCTGCTTCTCCTCCGACCAATAAGCCGTCTTATCCGAATACCCAATCCAAGTCTCCTCCTTCTCTTCCTCTTCCTCATTCATCTCTCCCTCCTTCACCCCCTTCCCCTTTCCCATCTTCTTCTTGTCCTTCTTCCTCGTCACCACAAACCCACTCTCATCATAATACCCCATCGGCTCCTCCGACGAAGAAGACCAAGAACTCAACTCATCATCCACCACATGGGCCCGGCCCCGGTCATACCCCTCCCCTTCCCCATCTCCCCCCTCCTGAAACAACTCCGCAGCCGCAGCTGCAGCCGCCTCCTCCGCCTCCCGAGCCTCCTGCTCCCGCTCCCGCTCCAGCTGCTCACTGTACTCCCGCTCCCGACGCATCTGCTTCAAAATCTCAATGGACTCCGGCGCCGTAGGATCCATATGCACGCTGTGGCGATAGGAAGCCTCGTACCGGCTCTGGCTGTATGGGTCGTCGGCACGATGCTGCTGCTGCTGCTGCTGCTGGCGGTGGTGACGGTGATAGCTGCGGTGGAAGAAGGCCCCGGCGTCTGCGGTGGTATGGAGGTTGTACTTCAGGTTACGGCAGCGGTGTTCGTCGAGGGCGGCATCGTGGACGGCGCGGTGGTTGGGGTCGCGGAGGGTTTCGACGGCGTAGAGGATCTAGATTTGGTTTCCGTACGTATCAGTCTTGGAGATTACCGTTGAATGATGCTTCTGTGAAGGGTAAAAGAGAGAGAAGTAAGGGAGATGTGATATATAGAAGAGTTGAGTTTGGAAGAGGATTCAAATAAAATGCGTGTGTGTGTTTGCGTTGGTGTTTGTATTTGTGTAAACCAGAACAGCTGCACCTGCACTCACCTTCTGGAACGTCTCGGCGTCACCTCCCTCTGTCTTGTCTGGGTGATACCTTAGAGCGAGCCGCTTGTAAGCGCTGTTGATCTCTTTGAGGTCGGCGTGCGGGTGGATGTTGAGGGTTGCGTAGCAGTCGATGAAGGTGGAGGAAGTTGGGGTCGACATTCTGCCCGTTGGGTGTGCTGGCGATTGCGGTGCATGTGTTCTTGTCTGGTGGGATGGTGTTTTGTTTTGGGGGTTTGGTTGGGGGATTCGGGAGGGGAGGGTGTGGGCTTGTACTAGAGTAGCGATATTCGGAGGAAGAGGAGATGAGGTGAAGGCTTGCGGTGAAGGGGGTAGTGGAATCGAGAGATGTCAAGGTGTTGGGGGTGGTTGCGATGGAGATGTGTGGTTGAGATGGTTGCTGTGATTAGTCTCAGGACTGTTTGCGTTTGTTCTATTGATGTACTCGATAAGGTAGATAGATTAGGTGGGCGATTGGAGACTGGGAGACAAGTGGTAAGTGGAGGATTGGTAGAGGAAGAAGAAAGGCAGGAGACTGCTTTTATAGGGTCGAGTCCTGAGAGTAATGGGAGTGAATGGGACGTCCTGAGTGCACTCGTAGAGGATACAGATATCGAAAGGTCAATAAGACTGTGGACACATTCACACTTGCGAACTGTGACACAGGGACAGAGAATGCCTATAAGCAGTTACCTCAATTGCGAATCCATACCATATTGAATATTCAGTATAGATGCAGCGTGCAGTGTGTATGTCGATGAGATAATAGATACCCGAAGTGAATTCAAGGCTTCCGCATTGTACTCACCCTGACAGTGTCAATACAACGACAGCATTGTACCGTTCCAAGACATCAAACTCTGGATAGGATGGTTGATTCACTTCATTCATCTCACAGGACAAAGAAAAGATAGGATAGATTTTACAGGCTGGAAAGTATCTAGGTATTTATGAGTAAGTCTACACATATGGTGACTCCTCCCCACAAAAGCTTCAGAAAAGCTTTTACATGTCCGCACTGGCGGTGGCACCAGTGATAATCTCGACCAGCTCGTTGGTAATGGCGGCTTGACGCTGACGGTTGTACAGAATCTGGAACCTGCAATGTATTAGCGTCGTTTCCACAACGGGCAACGGCGGAACTTACTTGTTGATCATCTCACCGGCGTTCTTGGAGGCGTTCTCCATGGCGTTGCGGCGGGCCTTGTACTGGTTAGCATTCATTCATGGAGTGATGATTCAGTGGAGGCGACTCACAGAGATCTCGCAGGCGTGACCCTCGGCAAGAGCCCAGAACAAGCTGTTGGCAAGAGCGTACTCGCGGAGGTTGGTCAGGGTCTCCTCATCGGTCTCGTAGGCAGAGAGGTTGGCTGTCAAGATCATTCAGCATGTATTTCACTTGGGTGCGGGAACGGCTCCAACTCACGGGACTGGGTGATAGCCTCCTCGGAGAAAGCCTCGACGGTGGCGGGCTCGTAGCTCTGAGCGTTCAGGAACTTGTTGTAGATGATCTTGACGCTGGCGTAGTCCTCGGGGAGCAGAGAGATCTGGTCGGCGATGGCCTGAGCATCGGCGAAGGTGGGGACGTCCTTGCAGACGTTGGCGAAGCTCAGGACGATGGCGTTGGGGTTGGTACGGGACAGCTGAGCCTTGGCCTTCTCACCGAGGACGACAATGTCGGCGTTGGGAGTCTGCTGGAGCATACGGCGAGTGGCCTTGCTGAGACCGGAGTGGATACCACCGCAAAGACCCTTGTCGGAGCTGGCGATGACGAACAGAGTCTTCTTGTCCTCGAGAGGCTTGGTCTCAGCCTGCTCGAAAACGGTGTTGGAGGTCTGACCGTAGCTGCGGGACTCCTCCATGGCCTTCTGGGCGCGGGTCAGACGGGTAGAGGCGATGACCTTCATGGTGTTGGTGATCTTCTCGATGTTCTTGATGGACTTGAGACGGCCCTCGATTTCACGCAGAGTCGCGAAGTTGGCGGCGTTGGGAGGAGCAGTGCTTCCGGATAAATCAGCCATTGAACCATATCATCGACTCAAGCTCTTCGAATCATCCAGGTCGATTGATATTGGCGAGCCATTGGCGAGCCAATGCACAATGGCAGCAGGCTGTGGGCGTGGGTTGTGTGGATGGCCCGGACTGAAGGGAACTTACCGGGAGACCGCAATGCTACCAGCGCGAACGGCCGGACGAACAGCACGGGAGAACATCTTGAATGTGAAGAGAACCGTACGGTCGGATCTGAGACCAACGATATAGCAGTTGTGGAGGGGGGAGGGTGGGGAGGGGAGGAGGGCAGAGAATCCTCTTCTGGGGCTGGCGGATGAGAAGTCGGTGGTTGAACTTGGGACTCCTGTTTCTGTTCTTCCGACAGCCGGCCAGCACGGGATTCCAGTTCACGCTAGTCCGGATTGGGGAGATGCTGATAGTGTGGTGATTCGGGATGGCAGGAGGGACCTACAATGCAATTGCCGTCAGCACGACAAATAGTCAGGTGACTTGCCACTCGGAACCTATCCAGGCAGTGTCTGATCCTCAGGCATCCACAGCTCTCGCCGGCGCAAATGAAATGGAATCGTCATCCAGCTCTCCAACTGAGTGGGGAATCGGTTCCTCAGGCCATTGATTTTCTGGCCGCTTCTCGCGCTGGGAGTGGCTGAACGGTCCGGAGAAACGTGAAAGTCAAACTGGAACCCATGAGCCTTGACTTCTTCCAGTTGACTCTATGGTCTGGAAGTACTGCTAATTCTTAGTAACGACTAGGTAGCTGATCGCCTCAGGCCCCAAACCCGGGACGGCCTCGTTTTCCATTCCATTCCAGGTTCTCGCCTCGCTCTCGTCTCTTCTCTCTCTTCTCTCTCTTCTCTCTTTCTTCTCTCAATCTTTTTCCCTCTTGTCATCTCTCCTGCCTCGTTCTTCCCCTTCTTTTCAGCTTCCCCATCCTCCATTGTCTGTTGCCCTCCCCTCACTTTCCTCTGATTTCCTCTCCCTCTTCCCTTCTCAGTCTTCCTTTTGGCTCCTCTTGTGTCCTTAGCGTCCTTCGTCCATGTATCTTCCTCCTCTGTGACGCTTCGTCCTCTGGTAGCTCTCTCATTGGCCAGGCGTTCATTGATCGCATCCCTCCCTCAAGCGCCTCTTCCATTCGCCAAATTCAGCGGTTCGATCTCACACCCTTCGAGTTCTGTTTCCCGGATTGCCTCGTACCGGGCTTCTAGCTCTCAGCGCTTCTACCATCCCCGTCGCCTTGCAAATATGAGCTCGTCGGACGATGACACCCCACTCGTCCGGGCCAATGGTCGCCATACGGGTGAGTTTCATCAATTAAGCATGCATGCTTTCGCGTTCTATTCTCGCTCCACGTTTTGCTCAGTCCTCAATTCTCCCTTCTTATCGAGTGACATTTGCCTCAATGCGCCTAACCACATCTCACCCCAACGTCATTACTTCTTCACTTCTACCTTCCATTGATCACTCCAGTATATCTACTAACTTGACATGGGACGGTGCGATAGAGACGAACGGCCATGTTGACCCTGGAGTATCAATTCGGTTCGGTCCGGTGAAATCCGATCGTGATGTTGAGATGGCGGATGCGGATGCTCAAGCCGGCGCTGCTTCGAAGAGGAAGTCGCGCAACAGTGTTGGTCAAATCAAGTCATATGCTGAGCCGGAAAGCAGCGAGGAGGATCAACCTTTGGTACGCCACATTTACAGTCGCCACTCACAGTCCATTCGTTTTGGTCACAATGTTCCATGTTCAACGTCGGTTACGAATCCAGTCAATCGGCTGACTTTTCGATAGAGCAAGCGTCGTCGCACGTCTGTTAAGCAGGAGGACCCTGAGACGGATGATGATGTGCCTCTGGCGCTCAACGGTCGCAAACTCCCGAAGGCTTCCGAAACCGCCATCGGGGATGAATCGGACTCGGATGTTCCCATCGAGAGGAAGCTCGCGGCCGAGAAAAAACGGATTCAAGTGAAAGGCGAGAAAGAAGCCAAGCCCAGCCGCAGCACGGCTACTCTGAAGAGCACCAAGGCAACAGCGGCTAAGAAGCAAACCAATGGTGTGAAGAAGGAGCCCGAGGACGCGAAGCCCAGTATTGTGAAAAAGACAGCCAAACACGCCAGAGTTCCAGAGAAGGCTGTTACCACCGTCAAGCGAGGATCTGCGGCCGGCAAGGCTACTCCTGCGAAAGCCTCTGCCGCAAAAGCAACCCCCAAACCAACCCCCGTGAAAAAGGAAGAAAGCGAGGAAGCCGAGGACGCCGACGAGGAGGAGGAGTATAAGTGGTGGGAGGACCCGACCAAGGGCGACGGCACGATCAAGTGGACGACCCTCGAACACAATGGCGTGGTCTTCCCTCCTCCCTATGAACCTCTTCCTAAAAATGTTAAAATGAAATATGACGGCATTCCCGTCAATCTTCATCCTGACGCGGAAGAGGTCGCCGGTTTCTTTGGCAGTATGTTGAACTCAACTCACCACGTTGAAAACCCCACTTTCCAGAAGAATTTCTTCATGGATTTCCGGGACATTCTCAAGAAGACTGGGGGCGCAACGGACTCCAAAGGCAACAAGGTCGATATCAAGGAGTTCTCTAAGTGTGATTTTCAACCCATTTTCGCATACTATGACATGAAGCGCCTCGAGAAGAAGAACTTGCCTCCTGCCGAGAAGAAGCGCTTAAAAGCCGAGAAAGATGAACAAGAAGCTCCTTACATGTACTGCATGTGGGACGGTCGCAAGCAGAAAGTCGGCAATTTCCGAGTCGAACCCCCGGCCTTGTTCCGTGGTCGTGGTGAGCATCCCAAGACCGGCCGTGTCAAGGCTCGAGTTCTCCCGGAGCAGATTACAATCAACATCGGGAAAAACGCCCCCGTTCCTCCACCACCGGAAGGCCACAGTTGGAAGGAGGTGAAGAATGACCAAGAAGGCACATGGCTTGCCATGTGGCAAGAGAACATCAACGGCAATTACAAGTACGTTATGCTTGCTGCCAATTCCGATGTCAAGGGCCAGAGTGATTATAAGAAATTCGAAAAGGCTCGTGAATTGAAGCACCATATCGCCCGAATTCGCAAGGATTACCAGAAGAACCTCAAGCATGAGTTGATGGTCGAGCGTCAGAAGGCCACCGCCGTCTACCTCATCGATCAATTTGCCCTTCGTGCGGGTAATGAGAAGGGCGAGGACGAGGCTGAAACCGTGGGTTGTTGTTCTCTCAAGTACGAGAACGTCACTCTCAAGCCTCCGAACAAGGTTGTTTTCGATTTCCTGGGTAAAGATAGTATTCGGTTCTATGATGAAGTCGAAGTCGATGCGCAGGTTTTTAAGAACCTCAAGATCTTCAAGAAGGCGCCCAAGAAGGAGGGCGACGAGATTTTCGATCGATTGACGGTACGTTGCACTGCTCCTAGCCCACACTAATCTTCTTCACGACTTCTGACTTCATTAGACTTCCGCACTCAACAAGCACTTGTCGGCTTACATGCAAGGCTTGACTGCGAAAGTGTTCCGTACCTACAACGCCTCTCACACCATGTCGACGTTGCTCAAGGAGATGAAAGCAACGGGTAATATTGCGGAGAAGGTGAAGGCCTACAACGATGCCAACCGCAAGGTCGCTATTCTCTGTAACCACAAACGGACTGTTGCTGCGTCCCATGCCAACCAGATGGAGAAAATGAGCGAGCGCGTAAGCAACCCCTGCAGATACGTCACCAGAGTTGCAGCTAATGTGTTCTCGGCCAAATAGATCAAGGGTCTTCGCTACCAGCGTTGGCGCTTCAAGCAACAAATGCTCAACCTTGAGCCCACGCTCAAGAAGAAGAAGGGCGCCAAGTTCTTCGAGATGGACGAGGACATGGACATGGACTGGGTCAAGGAACACCAGGCTTTCCTGCTTGAAGAACAACGGCAAAAGATTCAGAAGAAGTTCGAGAAGGACAACGAGAAGCTCGTTGCCGATGGAGAGAAAGAAATGAAGGCAAGCGAGCTGAATTCTCGTCTGGAGGTCGTAAAGGACATGGAGAAGAGGTTCAACAAGGAGAACAAGACTGGCAAGGTGGAAGCCGAAGGCAAGGCTCCCACTGTTGAGAAGCTCGAGACCGCCATCAAGAAGCTCGAGCAGCGTATTGAAACGATGGAGCTCCAAGCTCAAGACAAGGAGGATAACAAGGAAGTTGCCTTGGGTACTTCGAAAATTGTGAGTCTTTCTCCGGTCTTCTCTCTGCCAGTTGATCCGTTATTCATACTTACCTGCATTTAGAACTATATCGACCCCCGTCTCACCGTCGTCTTCAGCAAGAAGTTCGACGTCCCCATTGAGAAGTTCTTCTCCAAGGCCCTTCGTGAGAAGTTCGAATGGGCCATCAAGTCCGTTGACGAGACCTGGGAATTTTGATTTGGCTGTTCCTTGTTATATCGCGCTCGAAACTTGGATACATACTTCTTATGGTTAAAGACTTCTTTCATGCTGCCTTAACTATCTATACTTTTTTTTCACCTTTCCTGACCTCTCTTGTTTTCCTTCTCAACACGCATGACTTATTGGAAACCAATGCATGCCATGCCCCCCCAAATACATCCTTTGATTGCATTTCTTGGAGCCTCACGTCCTTTTCTTTTCTCTGCCTCTGATTTCATCTATCTATTTAAGACTTATTATTGCAAGAGAAGAGCCAAAAACAAAAAAAAGAAAAGAACAAGAACAAGAAGGGAATGAATGGAAACAGCCGCTATACGGAGCGGGACTGGATGGAGGGAGACAAATACAGTGACAAGATCATAAGATACATACAAACATTACTTTTATGTGGTACGATTAGCATAGGAACGAAATCCTGGTTCAGTGTACGTCGAATGGCTTTCCTTTCCTTTCCTTTTTTTTTTTCGCATGTCACCTTGGGATATCCCAATGACGATGCCTGAGATAGATGTACAAACCACTTGATAAGTATTTCAGAATTGCCATGTTTAATTCTATGCACAGTCTAGAAGCAGCGTTCATGGACGGATAACCGGAAGGAATGTAACTGGTATATTATTCTTTTCTCTCATTTGGATATCTGTCCCCAATGGTTTCAATAGAATTACATAGACTCAGACCGAAAAGGAAACGAAAAGTAGACATTTGCATGCTCACAGAAATCATCACACATGGATTTGAACCACTCCCGCGTGCGATGTGCCGACCTGGCCTTTTTATCCGAAAAGATAAATATCATTTTTGATACGCAACAATACATCATTGAGTCCCGTTCATGCCTCATCGATGCGAAGAATATGGAGAGATCACAGGAGATAAATGAAGAAACACAACTCCTGAAGGTGGGAGGGAAATGGGGGCTGAACCATATTCAAGATGGTGTGCAGCAAAGAAGTAAAGTACAGAAAACGACTGTTGAATCACGAGGTATCAACATTCTCAAAACAGGCTCAGCCTATCGAGATGCAGCGCGGCAGAAAGAAAAACTAGCTGTGTAGATGCAGGTCATGATCAGAACATGGAGACTTGTGGAACATCGGACAGGGAATACTCCAAACACCGAATGACAAGAAAGTCAAGAATACAGTAGTACATACCAATCGCTCGATAACAGGAACCCAGAGTGTCCCAAGCATGAGATAATAATATTACAAGCACAAGATCCGTGATTTCCATATTGTACAGTGTGCGTACTGAAAGCGAAGGGAATTCAATGTGAGAACGAGGTCTAGGTGCTTTTATGAGATTGGCGGGTCGAGTCGAGTCGATCTGACCTGGTGCAAGGCCGAGTGATTCACGGTCGGGGTATCAGAGCACACGCAATAGGTTCGTCCGAATCGATCGCGATGACACTTGCGCGTATCATTTTTAAAAAGTGGTGGTCAGTAAGGAGATTCACGTCGACCCATTCAAGGCCACCAGCCCATTCGTTTGTAGCTTTCAACCATGGCCCGAACAGCATCAGCATCGAAGCGCTCACGAGTAGGCTTCCATCCTGTGGTCTTCTCAAACAATGTGCCATCGATGGACATGTCCTGGTCCCTGAGAACATCCCGCTCCAGGAACGGGCTGATCGGTCCTGGTCTTTCGATTTTCTTCTCTTCAAGCAGGTCGGCCCAGCCCTGTAGGCACTCCTCGTTCATATCATCCACAACATCGTCCAGGTTCATCTTGGCAAATTGAGATGCCAAAGAACCGAGGAACTCGACCTTCATGCCGAACACCTCCGATAGAGCATCTGCTATGTGCTCTTGGCGAGTGTCACCATGGTCGACCACGTTGAAAGCAATGGGGGCCGAGCCATCCGTCGGAGCGCTTGCCCTCCATTCTGCTGCTTTCCAGAGCGCGCCTGCTGCATCTTTGATGTATATTGTGTTGATCTTCAGGTCCTTCGTATACAGAAGTTCCAAGTTCTTCTGCAATTCCAAGTGAACTCGCGCAAGGCAGATACCCATCGCAAAATAACCGGAATCATACTCGCCGTAAACGTGCGGCAACCGAAGCAAGCAGTAGTGAAGGTTGGGGATTTTCTGCAGCTCCTCACTGGCCTTCATCTTCCACTTGGCGAGCTTGTGCCAGGGCTGCAACTTGTCGTCCTCCTTGCGCGGACTCGAGCCACCTTTGTAAACGTGTGCAGTCGAGCACTCGACGAAAGAGCGGATGTCTCGACGGGCGACTTCGCGACCGAGGGCAACGGTGAGGGCATAGCTGCGGACCTCGTAGACATCATCGGGCTGAGAGTGTCGGGTTTCTCCACCACAGTTTATCACATAATCGAACTGCTCGCCATTGGCACGGTCAAAGATCCGGGGGAAGTGCTCTAGCAAAGACGCGGAGGGTCAGTAAGCTGTGGAATGTGCGCAAAAGCAAGTCAAAGCGAGTCTGTCGACTCACGTTCTCGACTAGCATCAGCTTGAACAAATTTGTCTTTCGAGCAAGCTTCTTGAAACTCAGGGGCCAACCAGGCAAGCTGAGGGAGGACTTTGTCGACTAGTCGTACTTCCGAGGCCAGGTTGTTTTCGTGGATGTACAGGGCAAGATGGCGACCAACGAACCCTACAAATGCAAAGGCATGTAAGTCGAATTGTACAACACCCAGCTGGTTTCTGCACAATCAAAAGAAACCATCATGAGGCACGCATACCAAGACCACCAACGATCAGAACGGCGGGCTTTTTTGCCTGAACATCCGCCATGACGAGGAATGTGACAAGGAGCGAGATTAGATTTAGGATATGAGACAGAAGAGGAGGAGCTTCAGCCTTGTTCAGATGGTGAACCAGCTCGCGTTAAGATGGCAGTTTGTTGACAGGCACACCCCGCACCCGAGCGCGTACCAGTCGATGGAAGAATGCGGGGAGGAAAAGGGGGCGGAAGAGACGCAGGGGAGAGTAAATGCGAAAAAAAAAAAAGAAGGGGGAAATGCTGTCACAGAGGATGCAGCAGAGGTCAATAGTTTAATATGTGATTAAGAAGGAAAATACTGTCAGTAATTTGAGGATGAGAGAGGGAAGGAGGGGAGGAGGGGGGGGGG